GGCCAGTACTGAAAAGGCCCTGGCCCTATCTCTTTACATTCTGAGCGTTCAGAGATCTCAGGAGTGGAAATAAACCTGCCTCCTGGCTTACCCAGCCTCTGCGGCATGGGCAGCTAGGGTTTGCTTTCTTTTCGTTCTGCCCTGTAACTCAGCCCATTTAATTTCTCCATGGGATTCATTGGGAGCCATTGAGCCAGCTCCCCTCCTCCGGGAGCCTCCCGTTTATCTGGGTTCCATTTCTTGATGTAAAGCATGATGGACTCTTGGGTGTTAACATGGGATTCTAGGCCTTTTTCTTAGGCTCTAGAATATGTGTATACAGGGCAGGGGAAACGACAGGCTTCACCCATGCAGTAGATGCATCCATTGGCACATCTTCAAAATATGGCTAAATGCATATTGTGATTTATTTATTTTTTAGGACCCTACGTGTGTAAAAAACACACCTATGAGTACAGGCAAGTGTAGTAGTGTACCAGCAAACAAGTGAATATTTTTGGGGGAGCATGGAGACACAAACCCTCTCCCTGTGATGCCCCTCTCACATGTCCATTGAACACACAAGGTTTAAGGAGAGAGGATGTTGGAATCCATTGCACAGCAAACAAACAGGCACCAGGCTTGTAAAATACTGACTGGTAGCTGCTGGTTTTACGGACCTGTGTTTCTGGTTTTGAATTGCTGCTGAGGGGATGCACAAACCTGTAAATTTTGCTTTCTTTCAGTTTCACATTTTTGTAGCCTTAACTAAAGTTCTCCACTTTTCTTCATCAGCTTGCATTTTAAAAAACACACACAAAAAAACCTCAGGAAATTTTGGCTGCAGTTTAGTGTTCATTTCTCTCACTGTGCACATTTTTCTATGACCTTCTGGCTAATGTAATGCATTTTGTCAGTTATGTTCACTAATACATGCGTTTTTGTGCACACTTGCCGCAAATACATGCATTATTTGTACACGTTATGTGGTTGGAGAACTTCATTGCAATATTTGGAGAAGTGATATGTTTTGGCTCACTTGCTTTTTCCGTAAGTGTGAATTAAGTAGGTTCGCGTAAAAATGCTGGACCAAACTGAATTTCTCCTCCAATTCTTGGGAATACAAATCAGTTGCTGGGGAAGTGATATGCAAGGAAGAAACAGTGGGTGATGGCACATGTAAAACACCTACCTTCCTTTCCCCCCTCCTTATTCGCCTTACAAGGGAAACATGAGATTGAGATTCTTGTGTTTTCCTCTTAATTACCGTATTTTTCGCTCCATAAGACACACCTAGTTTTTAGAGGGGGAAAGCAGGAAAAAATATATTCTGCGCAGAGCATGTAAGCAGCTCTCACTTTTCTTGCTTTAAAGCAAGCAAAGTGAGAGCCGCTTACATAGCTTCTGTCCTGCTTTGCACAGCTCTCACTTTGCTTTCCCATCCCTCCTCCCACCTCACTGTAAAGTGAGGCTACGCTGGAGCAAGAAGAGGAGGAGGAGACACCGGGACAGGTGCTTTGCTTGCTCCTGGGACAGAAGCCATGTAAGCGGCTCTCGCTTTGCTTGCTCCTGTCCGTCCCTCCTCCCGCTTTGCTGTGAAGCCAGCAAAGCAAGAGGCCCTGCGCAGCTCTCACTGAAGCCAGCAGAGCAAGAGTGGTAGCTGCTCAGCGCCTCTCGCTCTGCTGGCTTCACAGCGAGCGACGGATGGGAGCCATGGCTCCGGCTGCAGAGGCATCCCTCAGCTCGTGACTGCAGCGGTAGCCAAGGGATCCCTCTGCTGCCCAGTGCATTCACTCCCTAAGACGCACAGACATTTCCCCTTACTTTTTAGGAGGAAAAAAGTGTATCTTGTGGAGCGAAAAATACGGTAATAGTTCTGCATTAGGTCTCCCTTTATCACAGGTGTCTTACTCCATAATACTTACCTTTGTGCTGGCACCTGATAATGGCTGGTTCCTGTATGTCCTGTGCTGCCTTTCAAGTCATCAACAGAAAACAAAATCAAGGTCCATTGGCATTGACACTTCACTTTGTCATGGCTGGCCAGTGAGTGCTGCTTCAATGGCCTTAAATAATCTCCTTCAGATACCATACGACATATTCTTACTGCCTTTGCAATGATTACTGTGTTGTTTCATCTTCTAGGTCCAACAACCCAACGCCAGGTTCAAAATGGACCTTCTCCAGATGAAATGGAGGTTCAGAGACGGTAAGGAGCAAAAACCAATAATCTGCAAAGCACTGTGATTTTTTTAAGCAAATACCAACTGTTGCTAATATAATTGAGCCTATCAAAACACCAGGGCATTCTTTCAGAAACTGCGCTACTGTACAGGCCAGTTGTCGCTATGAAACCTGATGCAATAAATGGAATTGTTATCCCATCAAAGTGGGTGGCAATTTTAGCCTCTGCTTCTATGTTTGCATCCTGATCTGTTAAAACCAATCAGGGTATTTGCAACCCGTGAGATTCCCTGTGTTGATAAAATATGTTTTGCCCATCAGGACTGTGGTACTCTGGGCTCCATCAGTTCTGTTCTGTATTATAAGACACTATAGGAAAGACTCTTCAGCACGATCAAGATATGTGTGAGACAGATCTGCACTCCGATCACTGCTTTCGCTTTTATTTTTCTGAGAAGCCTCATCCCTTACCTCTTTATTATTTATTGATTAGATTTATAAACTGCGCTTCCTCCCAGAGGAGTCCCAGGTGGCAAACCCATCAAAAACAACTATTTTGAAATATTCAAAAAATCATTCAAAATCCATTTTAAAACATTTTAAAAACATTTTCCGAACTGGTAATTTCAGGGTTGCCAGGAACAGTTTCTTTCAGCCATCAAACACCTGGGTAAAGAGAATTTTTTAAAAAAGAAAAAAGAAAAATCCTTCTGAGAGTCAGTAATGAGGGAAATGGATGCACCTCACCTGGGAGGGCATTCCACAAATGGGGAACTACCACTGAAAAGGCCCTGTCATGGGCCGTTGCCGGCTGGGAAGCCCCCGGAAGTGACACCAACAACAAGGCCCTTAGTGGTGCATAGGGATGTTTCTACAGAAAGTGGGGGTGGTCTCGGAGACCACACGGCATATATGCAACTTATAATGTGGATCTTCCAGTTTGAGCTTGTGACAATTATGATGGTACTTAGCTTAGGTGATGGGAAGCAACAGGGTTAGTGAAGTTCCTTGCATGATCAGTTTGGCCCATTTGCAAAGTCTGTTGGAGTGAATCAACAAAGCTGACGTCCATTCCTAAGCCATCTTCACAATGTTTTGCTCGGTTATGTTTGTGTGTTAATTTTCTTAAGCTTCTTAAGCAAGCTTAAGGTGCTGGGCCTCTAATTATCAAGAGGATCACATTATGTAGAGAACATCCTGCTGGCTGCATCTACCTTAGTGATTATTTCAGACCGTTGTGTATGGTTCCGTTTCCTGAAATGGCGTGTGATCCCCTTATTGGCCGCTCCCCAAGATCCCAAATGACCCAAGTGAAATACTTTATCAATCAAAATCAGGACCATTTAGAGGCATGGGTGGTTTTCCCCAGTTTTCATGCCATTTGTGACAATTAATTCTGCATTTTCTCAGTTACTGGACCTTCCAAAGTTCAGGACCGAAGCGACCATGGGATATTTCCAGAAACTCTTCTGAACTATCCTTGAGGGGAGATGTGGGCAAGTTACCATGATATGTGGGCAAGGTAATCACAGATCAGGGCAATGCTCGCATTCGCAGCAGCGTCTTTGACTTCACAAACCAGAGCATGTTGTAGACAAGTGCAATGACTGGACATCTGTCTCTCACTATTCCTATCACTTTTGGTGAAGAGATCGTGACTTCCATTCAGCCAGAAATTTCATCCAAATGAGGGACCTCTGGCTTCATGTTGGTCACCAAAACTGTGATAAGAAGCCACGCTGGAGATCCCACAGGGATTGGCCTGGTTAGAGTGGCACTTGCCACAAAGCCACTTCCGGCCTGCCCAGGAGGTGGGGTTGCGGGCTTCACGCCCACCCCCCACGTGAGCAGGGGCTGGTTTCAGCCCCCGCGAGAGCAGGGGAATCCCGGCCGTGTCTGCCCTATTTAGGGCCGGCGCAGAGGGGGCTCACCCTCTTTTCGCCGGCTAGCCCCCACGTTTTCCCGCCCTCCCTCCCTTTAGGTAGGCTTTAGGTAGGTCTCTGACTTTGCTATGGACTTCGGTCTGTCGCCGCATGGGGCATGGTAGGAATTTTTCCCAATTGGCAATTTACAGCCATTTGGTTTTTCGCCTACCTCGTAGCAACTCGTCACAACTCTTCGGCATTGGCGGTAGGCATTGGTAAGAAGGGGTTAAGAGGATGTGGGGGGGGGAGGAACGCCATAACCTCCCCCCAGTGAGCGAAGGGTGGTCCGTTAAAGGACTCCGGGGGGCGTGGCCCTGTCCGAAGCCTATGGAGGTGTGGGCCAAAGGCACGCCCCCGAGCGGTGACCCGGGGGAGCTCCTAGTCGACGTGCCTCGGCGGGAGACTCCCCCGATATAGTGTTAACCCTTCCCCGTGTCTCCAGCAAATGGGCTGGAGCCGGATAGTCGTTAGGACCAATGCCTAAGCCAATGCCTCTCATTCCTGAATTCAATAAAGTTGTGGCCTAATTCGCCCATTTAACCTTAAACCATGGTGTCTCGTGTCTTTATTTATCCTGGTGGGGGGCGGGAACTCGCCACGCAACCGATCCTTTAAGATGACCTCTCCAAGTGGCAGAGCTACTGCACTCAGCTGGTCCAGACAGGAGCAGGGTAGATGCCAGCTACTACCACTATGGACATCAGAGAATTCTGATGGAAAGGACTGGAAATTGCCAATGTTCATTTTTGCATCCCCTGTCCAGAACTTAAAACAATCCAGCAAATAAAATCAGTAGTTTCTGTTGTTGTTTTTAGCCCTCCAGTGATATGTAAATTAGAACCATAGAATTTTAGAGTTGGAAGGGACCCCGAGGGACATCTAGTCCAACCCCCTGCGATGCAGGAATCGTTTTGCCCAACAAGGTGCTTGAACCCACAACCCTGAGATTGAGAACCTCATGCTCTACCAACTGAGCTATCTTGATTATGTTTCTCCCACATTCGCCTTGTGTTTGCTTGCATTGAAGTAAATGGTGTGGAATAATTAATTGCATAACATTCTGCCATGGCGGGCAGCGAGACTAATAACATTGGGGGGGAGCAATGTCTAAATTAGATTTACAGTGCAGCCCTACGCATGTGTACTCAGAAGTAAGGCTTATTTCCAGGTAAGTGTGTGTAGAAGGGGATGCAATTCAGCAGGGCTTACTTCTGAGTAGCCATGCAAAGAATTGCTTTGTTAGTGCATTGCTCATATGTTAGCTCAAACAAGTGTGCTGCCAAAGAGAGCACAAATTATAACTGCAAGTAGCAAATCTCCAAGGCACTTTTGATCTGAAAGGCCCTCTGGTGGGAATTCCTCGAAACTACATGCTCCTTTAAAAGGCTATGGTTCCATCGCATGAGAATGATGCTGGTGTACCTGCTACTTTTCCAGCCCTGAAGCCAATAGTAAAAGGATGTGAAGGAAATAGTTCCTGAGGAATAGTCCTTTTGGGGGGGATGGGGGGGACCAAGCTATATTTTCTTGCTTTACCTGCACTGCGGAAGCAGATACATGCTCCACAAAAAAGGTGTTGCTTCCTATACCTGAGATCCACTTATGGAGGAATAATTTGGGAAATATGATTAGGAAACGATTGCATTTGGGGCTAAGATTATTTATGTTGCTGAAAGCCATTTCACACAGATAGTTAGCCTTCGCATTTTTGCCAACAACAGCTCTTGTGTTTTCAGATGAAAAACCAGAAAGACAGATCATAGACAGGGATCTTGAATACGGGATCCTAACTAAGCAGTTTCTGGCTTCTCCAAGAGCATGGTAATACAGTGGACACCCGGGTTGCGAACATGATCTGTGCGGGATGCACGGTCGCAACCCACAGCGGCACGTCTGCGCATGTGTGGGTTGCAATTTGGCGCTTACGCACATGCACAAAGCATGCGCGACCGCCGAATCCTGGAAGTAACCCGTTCTGATACTTCCGGGTTTCGCTGGTCTGCAACCCGAAAAAACGCAACCAGAATTGTCTGTAACCCGAGGTATGACTGTAGTTTTTCTGTCCCTGAGGGGAGAAGGAAATGAAGTACAAATACTAGGTCCTTAGAAGTAGGGCTTAAGCAAACAACCACCCCCAGCTGCAATATGCTGTTGCTCTTGAGCCAGAAAGCCAAATGGCACTGCAGGTATTAAATCCTAATAGGTAACAATTTATCCCATAAAACCAGCCTTCACTAGGGATCTTAGGCCTATAATACCCAGTTCAGCAAAGGTTGAGCTTGCTGGCATGCCATTGAAATCCGATTGAAACCTGTTGAATTTAAAGCGTGCTTCACTTTCCCCTGGATGACATCACATTTCCATGATGGGTACTGTGAGTAGAAACAGCTTTCTACTTGTATACCCTACTAAGAGTAACAAAAGGTGCACCTACCTGGAGAGGAACCTTGTCAAAGACTGCCCTGCAGCCTGTTCCAGCTTGACTGTCCCCTTTCTGCCACAGGGCCATTCAAATTTCCCTGAGGGAAGGACCTGACTTTTTAAAAGGTAGATACAATATTGTTCATTGCAGTTCCTTTTTAAAATGCAGTTTAGGGTTTCCGCTGAATAAATCCTCCTTGCGATGATTTGTATGCTGAATGCTGGCTATAAATACCTAGTAGCCTTATACCTGGCATTGCTTGGAAAACCTAAGAAAACAATAATAACAACAAAAATTCAATGTGGTTTTGAAAGGTTCAGTCCGCCATTTTGATTCAAAATGGTGCCCAACATAGAGAGAAACCTACTCCTTGAAATCAGCCACCATCATGCAAAATTGGGTTACAGTCTATTAAAGGGTGTTCCGCATATAGTAAACAGGCAAACAACATTCCAGAATACATAGTAGATTGTAATAAATGAACAGTGCCACAAGAAAGCTGTTTTGTGGGCATCATCCCTCCCCCCCCCAACAAACTATACCCAGCGCAAACAAAGCCAAAGTGTCTGGTCAAATGCACATTAGAAACTAAAACTTGATTTGTTTTTCCTTATTCCCCTTTGTTTTAGGCAAGCCATGGAGCTGCAGCAGCGCCAGGAATCTCTGGAAAGAAGAACCTCTACCACAGGCACGTATCCAGCTTTTGTAAGCAACGCAGGCCTCGCCTTTCCCCTGCTTGCCTCCCTTAACTTTCACCTGCTCCCTGGAAACGGTTTGGCCTGTTGAGTATTGCTGCAATTATCCTGTGGCTTGAAAACATTTCAGTCAGACACGGGAGGTACAAAGAGGGATGGCAACTGCGCAAGTGCAGCTGACGTCAAAACTTAGCTCATTGTGCTCTGGGATTTGGTTGCTCTTCGTTTTTCTGCAAGGTGTTTTCACACCGCAGGATTAGAAATCTTCTTCGGCTTAAATGGCATGGGATGCAAAAGGAAAGCCTGGAGTGGCTATGTTTTGTTCCGTCTTCTACGTTATAGCAAACAGGCAAGGCCCAGATGAAGGCCAGTGCTTTGTGGCGTGTTGGTGTTTAACTGTCCTGGCTTTGTTTGGGCATCCTTAAAACCTATACCTGTACTAATCTTTATTAAGTTTTGGCTTTGTTTTGATTTGTTTTTGATTTAATTCCTCCTTCCCCCTGTACCCAGTCTTTCTAACCATGGTGCCATCTGTCGTTCCTCAGTTCCAACCCATCTTATTCTTTCTCCTCCCCCCCCCTTTTCCTTTTCTGTTATTTTTAGTTTCCACCCTTCAGATAAAAGTGTCTTCTTCCCCCTTCCACTGCCAGTCTCCTCCTCCTGACTACAGTAACTACAATGCTTCCACTTCCACGGGTGCTGTCCCGCCTCCACCTCCTTACGCCAAAGTTATCTCGTCGGCATCTTCTCCTCTCCCTGACCCTGTGGGCAAAGCCTCTTTCAAACCCCCTCAGGGACCCAGGGAACCCCCTTTGCACTGCCACCGACATTCTGCCTCAGAGTTCTCTCCATCTCCAGCTTCCTCCATCCCTCCGGCCTGGCCAGGCTACAGGACTGTGACACGAAGCACCAAGCACATCTCTTTATCCCCGCCACCTGCCCCGGCTTCCCATTACCCCTTCGCCCCTCCTCAGCCCACCAGGCGCTCCTCTCTCTCCTATTCCCCTCAGCCTCCCTCCCCACCCGTGACCCTGACGCCCCCTGTACAAAAGGGTCTGTTCCTGCAGCCCCATATTCCAGTGGTCCTCCCTGTCCTCCCTGCCCAAAACGGCAGGATGCGGGGGCCCACAGATACCGTGGTCCAAGACACCTCCGCAAACGTACCTCAGCTAGGTCTGAACGGCCACCGCGACGGACATTTTGCCACGCAAATTCCTCCAAGCTCCTCTAGGACCCAGGTAAAGAGAACAGACGAGTCCTATTTCTCGTACTTGGAAGCCGTGCCTGTTTCGCATCTGCCTGTCATAGCCGACCCAGCGGGGTCTTACATCCAGGCTTTTCCCCGGCCCTCCCAACATTCGCCTCATTCTCCACACCAGCTCTATCCATCCATGTCACACTTTGTTCCTTATTACGCCGCTGTATCTGAGGTGAATTTGTCCAAGAGGAACCTTCCTTACATGACTTCATCAACCATTTCACACTTCAGTAAGTACTTGGTTTGAAAGAATTGCATTTATTTATATTTAGGCGACACCTTTAGGTTTTAAGCAATAGGTTATAAGCCCAATTTTTTGACCAGACTTTCAAGAGCATGCATAAGTGCCTGTGGAAGGTGCAGGACAGAGGTGGCAAAAACCTGGAACTCTCTAGGTGTTGTTTGATTCTCATTGGGCCCAGTTAGCATGATTCTGACCAAACTGCGGGAGGCAGTGGAAGACAGGAGTGCCTGGCGTGTTCTGGTCCATGGGGTCATGAAGAGTCAGACACGACTAAACAACTAAACAACAACAGCATGATCTGCAGTCAGGAATTATGGGAATAGGGAGTCCCATCAACATCTGGAGGGTATAGGCTCCCCAATAAAGATGTTATATCCCAGAGAACTACAGTGGTGCCCCGCAAGACGAATGCCTCGCAAGACGAAAAACTCGCTAGACGAAAGGGTTTTGCGTTTTTTGAGTCATTCCGCAAGACGAATTTCCCTATGGGCTTGCTTCGCAAGACGAAACGTCTTGCGAGTTCTTGCGAGTTTGTTTCCTTTTTCTTAAAGCCGCTAAGCCGTTAATAGCCGCTAAGCCGCTAATAGCCGCTAAGCTGCTAATAGCCGTGCTTCGCAAGACGAAAAAACCGTAAGACGAAGAGACTTGCAGAATGGATTAATTTCGTCTTGCGAGGCACCACTGTACATACATAACTAGTATAGTGTAGAACCTTATTCAGGCCAGAGACAAAAAACTAAAATTTGCAAAAGAATGTTTTTTAAGCACATTCAGTGAGAGAACAGGGAGTGCTGACATAAGGGAGGCAGACTGCGCCCCCTCCCCAGTTAGCATATGTTAATTCAGTGGTTCTCGAAGTTTTTCCCCTGTGCCAGAATAAAATCGCGCCACCCTGATTTTTTTTATTGAAAGGAAATACGTTGGAAAACAAAAAGGAGCAACTCCTAGCAGTGGCTGATTAGAACACAGAACACAACTATTTTATAATGTAGCCATGGGGCATCCAGAAAGTAATAAGACAATGAAGCTACATAAAAACAGTTATCATTCTTGCACGCTTGATGCTCCTGCTTTCATTTTGAAAAGATATCTATCCATATTCTGCAAATAAAAAATGTTTTGATACTATACTATGCTACACTGAAATGTAGAAATGTTTCTTTGATTGGCCTTGAATCTTCCTGCCGCAATTGCCACACTCTCCTGCCACCACACCTTTTGAGAACCACTGTGTTAACGGATTGCCTGTACAGAAGTCTCGTAGGCTGAGGGAGGACTTTAGTGCAATGTGCCAGCGGAGAGCACAAACCGTAATCAACAAAGTTTGAGGTTCAACTCTTAGCTTTGCTTGGAAGTAGCTA